GGGGGCAATATGCTGACTCTCTGTAAACCGCTTAGAGAGGCCTGAAAGGCCTATGAAGCGGTATATAAGTCTACTGCTATTGCTATTGCTTTTGCGACCTTCCGCCAAGCAGCGTCGATGGGGGAAATCCAGGTGTGCTTAACAACCGTGTGACTCACTTAACAACCGCAGCGATGTCGCTTAACCACGGTGGCCAGAACGATTGAGGAATTTGGGCAAAACTCACTTCACAAGCATCTCGCTTAGCCACGGAAATTGTCGGCTCCCTGGTGGTCATAAGCCAAGGACTAAACTTAACCAGGGTGTCGTCGGGAACGATATGATCTGAGATATGCATTTTTATTTTATTTCTCTAGGTAGCTCCCTGGGGGAAAGAAATATATACCTGCTGCCGAGATGGGATACTGAGGCGGTACCAGCTTCCCGATCTCTGATCCGCCTGGAGATGTCGACAACGGATTGCAAATGCTGGATTTAGTTCAGGGATTTCTCTCAATGACTGTTTGGGAAAGGGACAACGGAGAACCTGGTTTGCAGTCCTCTCTAGCCGTGTTTGCAAAGCTGGGGCACTTTAAGAGGGGTGGGCTTCAACTCCTCTTAAAAAGTGTCCCAGCTTCGGATTTATACAGTCACAGAGCTGACAGGTATGACTTTAAGAAGACCTCACCCGAACCAGAAACAGGGCACAGAAGGGGGGACCCCCCTGGAAATTCTGTTCTGGAGGTTTCTTGTTATTAAAGAGCACCTCGCATTTTGGAAACGCACAAAGGGTTTCTCCGGTCTTTTGATGGTTCTTAAGGCAGGGCAGGAACGGACCGGAGGGAGGAGAGGCCGGGATAAATAAGTATAATCTTTATTGTCATTGTACTTAAATGCAACGAAATGACCTCGTGGGAGGAATTCCTTTGAGGTAACCACACGCCGCTCTTCGCAGTATATTCACTGGCATCTGAAATGGCAGGAACAGTGGGGTCTACTGGATGTGGTTAAGAAAAAGTCAAGGTGTCTGTGTGTGAGTGTGTATTTCTATATGCTATTTATCTAGCAATAGCAATAGCAGTTAGACATATACCGCTTCATAGGGCTTTCAGCCCTCCCTAAGCGGTTTACAGAGTCAGCNATCCATCCATCCATCCACCCATCTATCCTCTCTCTCTCTCTCTCTCTCTCTCTCTCTTTCTCTCTCTCTCTCTCTCTGTATCTGTATCTATATCTATATCCGTCTCTCTCTCTCTCTCTGTGTGTGTGTGTGTGTGTGTGTGTGTGTAGATAGATAGATAGATAGATAGATAGATAGATAGATAGATAGATAGATAGATAGATGAAGGAAGAAGAGGAGGAGAAATAGAAGTAATAGCATAGCATAACCTCACTAGAAATCATAGCATTAGCCTGGAGTAGTTTTTTGTTCATCCTTGTCTGATTTGGTGGGATCTCTGTTTTATACAATTGAATTGTCTCACATATCTGCAGCAAAAGTATAGCTTTTTCCCAGTGGTTTTGCTCAATAGGCAGAAATGTGAAAAAGATTGCAATATCTACCTGGAATTGATAGGTAGTTTAAGTGGCAAGTTTAAAGTCCCTTGACAATCAGCAGTTGAAAGAAACTACTTTACTTTCATAATCTCCTGCCAAATTTATCCTGTTTAGTTGTAAATCTCTTACATATTTTAAAGGATTACAGTTAAAGATGAGATTAAAACTTTCCTCTTGGCTTCAAAACGAGAGCCGAGTTCTCCATACATGCATTTCCCTCGAAGGCTGCAAATGTCAGTTCAAGATGTCTTCCCTTTCTCTTAACCATTACTTTCATTTCGATACTGGGACCAGCTGAAATGGCTCTTTATCATAGGAGCAGTTAGCTTTTTTACACAAAAAATGCCCCTTCACATTTTGACACTCAAGCATTCCTTCCTTTTGAACTGCTGTTTCAATCTTTCCTCCAAAAAAAGAAGGGGGGGCACTTCATTTGACAAGTTGTGGCAGTTAATGATTGTTGCCACAACATCAGTTTGTCCTAATAAATTTTCTTCTGGGTGGGTTTCGAGGCTTCAAAGATGATACCATGCACCTTCGGCTAACCAGATGATAAAGGTTTCACAAATGCAGCAGATGCAGCCAAATGATTGTTTCTGAACCAAGCCATAATTACGAAACTTCAGTTAGAAAACTTTTGACCCCCACAGAAGTTGCAGAATGAAATTCAAGGAAGACGTGACACGTTGAGGTTTTGACTTCACAGCTGCTATAATTACCAAACCCTGCAAATGGAAAGCATTTATCCTTTGCCAACTATGGTAATTAATTTTCCCTTCAGTTAGCTGTGGAGGACGACTTGATCTTCCTTTAAAAAAAAAAAGTTTCTCACGCAAAGTGATGCATTTACTTCTTTATTATATTGGTGAGGGTAGAATTTTGTTCTTTCATTTAAAAAGGAAGATTGAACATGGTATAGGAGACAAGACCATTCAGGCAATCCATCATTTAGAGCAAATATGTAATATTGTAATATTGTTCTGACCCCCCTCGTCCCACACCAACACACACTCCGAGCCAAAGATAAGTTACGACATTTAATTAATAGAAAGACAGGTCCTTGGCAGCAAACTGGCACAGACAAGCTTGGGCAGCAATCCAGCACAGATAAGGCTTGGCAGCAATCCAGCCTGCCAAGCTCACAATAATGTTCTCCGACATTAATTCCTGTGTTGACTTCTGCAAGAGGGGCGTGTGCACAAGCAGNACATTTTGAAAGAAGGAATTGTTTTGCTTGAAATTTTAAGCAATTATGATTAGGATTATTGTAGCTTCCTATTCAAAATACCAAATATCTACTTGTAATTCTCTTTATGGACTGTCACCTTTCGGTCACCTTGAGACTCGCATATCCCAATGATACTATGAGCTAAATCATTGGGAGGATATACTCCTGGAAGTGTCACATAGGATAGGCAAATCATAGAAGATGGTTAGACTAAATATGATTCACTGGAGGGAAAAAAAAGAACCCATTCTAACGTTTAACCAAGGAAACAAAATTAGCATTTACAACAAGGATAACGTCCACATGATGTTGAAACATGAGCCTTGCAAATAAGAAGGTATGCAATGAGCTACTAGGGATGATCAATGGTCTAAAAGGGGTAGCATTGATGTTTATGATGTGGTTGAATTAAAGCTGAAAGCGTGCCAGAAGCCAAACAAGTTTGATACTGCAAAGATAGGGATACCATTGGTACCCAGAATGTCAGAATTTTGAGCCAAGGCAAATTTGATGTTGTCAAAACAGAAATGTCAAAACTGATCATTGACATTCTGGGAATCAGTGAGCTGGAATGGGTCACTTCACTTCAGAGTAACGTCAACATTTCTGTGGATAAGAAAATTATAAAAGAATATAGCAGGCATCAACCTTTGTGGCATCTAAAATTTCAAAATCTGAGCAAAAAGTGGCAAATAAGAAGTTGCCCTATGAATGTGTAGACGCCATTGTTCTTGAATATTTATTGAATGTTTTATAAAAATGAATGATACTAAAACATTATCGCCAGAATAATGGACTAATGAATAATGGACTACATGTTAATGAGACTAATATTACATGTACCTCTCACATGACATTAATTCTACTGCTAAATTATTCAACTGGAGAGGCTTGAAAAATCTACAGCATTATCAAAATGTTCTTTACATTATCTTGTTTCACAAAACCAGCTTTTTGAAGTCTGAAAAGACGGTGAAAACACCAGGTACCTACCTATCCACCCACCCCCCCACCCCCC